GTCTGAATGCCAGATTTTTTTTTAAGGTAGAAGTGAGAGAGAAAATTGTATTTCGTCTCACTCCAAATAGGTGGTTTTTCTTCTGTTCTTTTTTTTTTCCCACACCCTTTTCTTCAATACAACAGATCTATTTAAACATCTTTTTTTAAATGAAAGTGTATTCCTTGCTCGTCAGCTGTTCAAGCTGTTGGTATTCACCTACTTTTCACAAGATGACTGGTACCATTGATCATTAGAGAGCTTCCCCCAGCCCTGCTCGTGTCTGCTGGCTTTCAGAGAGGCTACCCAAAGTAATGGGAAATGGGGGGAGCCTGGCCCTTCGGGCAGGGGTCTCGCAGGTAAGATCTCATGCTGTTGTATGGCCTCTAACTGCCTCAGTGTGTATTTGGGGGTTCCCCTGGTTTTATTTGTTGTTGCTCCTAAAATAAGCATTGTAAGCTCAAAATTTTTGCCTGAGACTTTTTTTTTCTACTTTATAGAACCATTTCCAGCAGAAAAACAGGTCATGGATTGTTTATGTGACTTTAGCATATGGTTTACATTATATAGCATGTGGTATAAATTTTAACACTTTACAAATCTGCAGATTTTTTGTAAAATCAGAGACTTCCGGAACTTCTGAAGTTTGTCCTATAAAATAATTGGATTAATCAAGACCTTTAGCTACTTAATGTACAGTGATCGATAGAGAATGAGAACTGACTGGGGGTATTTAGCTCATCAGGGTGCGCTGAGCTTAGTACCGCTGTAACACGGGGCTTTCTACAGAACAACACCTTGCCCAGTTAAGTCTGTTTTCACATGTTGTGTCTTAGTGCCCATACTGGCATGGTCAGCCTGGCTGTGGTGGTGCCTGCCCTCTCATCGCACTCCTGCTCGGCTTCTCCTCTGGGACGTTCCTTTTTGGAGTATTAATCACATTATCCTGAGAAGGTGCTTATCTCCCCGGCCTCCTCCTACCCTTTCGGCTCTGAGGGTAAGGCTGCAGGAACAGCACTTTCAAGCAAGGAGACAACAGGTTGCGTTGTTGAAAGGTGTTAAAGCTGTTGTCGATAGAGTTCATGACTGATCAACCTTGTTGCTCACCGAGGAATGAATCATTTCTCAGTCCTCACATTAACTGGGGGAGCTGTAAGTAAATGCAACCTGTCGAGGGTAATGATTTCCACCGTGGCTTTGCTGGAAGGATGTCTCTGGATGATGACTGCAGAATGGGGTCACTTGTGCATTACCTTTTCCTAAGTTGCAGTGCTTGTTTTATTCGTTGCATTAACGTCAAGCCATTCGTTGTGCTCGGAATGGCATGTGCACCAGGTATCGAAGTCACCCAAAGGGTATGATAAACAAAGAGATTTTGTTTCCTCATGTCATGTTCATCCCATATTTACCCTGTGGTGAGAGCTCTGTTAGCACAGGAAACTGCTTAATGATATCTCTCTGTTTATTTTTCCCTCACGCTTAGCATGATAGTTACCTATTTATTTCTGCTGAAGAGGATTACAGGCATTTTTCAATTATAAATGATGCACGCAAGCATTATTTATCCTGTTTACTGCAGACCTATAGAGTGTTAGTCAGTCTTGAGCAGAAGCATCTTGTTCAGGAAACAACATTTGTAGTAGCGGTACTGTGAGTATTTTAGGGCAGTTTCAGGATGGTTTTCCATCTGTCCGTTAATACTTGCAGTGCAGCACGCACATGACCAGCAGCATAGCAGGTTTGTGCGTGAAATTCCCGTGCTTGAGAAATTTTAATTCGTGATGTTTCTTCTGTGTTAGCTTCTTGAAGGAGGAAGGGGAAACTCATTGCTCTTCCCAGCTTTGGCAGGCATTGGGTGAAGCCTAAATGCCAAGACCCAGTTACAGATGTGTGCTCTTTCTCCTACACTGCAGCCGAGGCGTCGTGAGAAATGCAATGTGTAAAGTCAAGCCAGAGAATTCATTGCTGTTTTCCTCCAGAATGTATTCATAAGATAATAAAAAATACACTGCTGTAGTCCAGATTATATAATGGAGGAAGTTGAAAACAGTTTGTAGAAGGAAATCAGCTCAAGCTTCATGGCACAGAATTGTAAAGGAGGTCAGAAGGACACTTCTTATTCTAAGGATTTTTGTCCTTTTTTCCGTTCTGCTATTTTTTTTGCCCTTCTTTTTAAGTATCAGCTGTTGTCAGAGTCAGGATTCTTATATGGGTGAGTCTCTGATCTCAACCAGCGTGGTAGCTCCAGGCCAGTTAAACCAGAGGCATATAGCAATGGGGACAGAACTTGACATTTTGGGTTTCAGAAACCACCTTTTCTCTGTGAACGCAGGCAGGAAAAGTGAAGGGAAGTTTTTCACAGAGAAGTGGAAAAAAGAAAAAGAGGAAATTCAAGGTGGGTTTTTTTTAAAGAATTTGAAGGAAAAAAGATGTAAGAAAAGTTTTGCTCTGAAGCCTGAACCATTCCACAAAATGAGAAAACTTTGGGGCATTTCTCTAGCGGTCTTGCCAAGATCTTGAAACAGTTGTAGAGAGGTGTGGGAGAACAGTGTGTGAGTATAAGGAAAAAAGGGGTAGAGCATCTAGAAGGAAAATAAGGCTGTATTCCATTCAGGTCTGAACTGACATCTCCGTGGGGGGGGCTTGTTTGGATGTGATTTGTCAAGAAACATGAGGTCCCACTCCCCATACACGCGGAGAAAACACGATTACAGATACATGGAGCATTTGCTTTCCAGCCCCCAAAGAAATAACGTGAGTGTTGATTCCATGCTATTAAAAACCAGTGTGCATTTGCAGAATACGCTATCAGAAAGATTGCGTAGCTGGATCTATATGGGCCTACCACCTCAGCAGATGCAAGGGGCGCTGCCAAGGCTGAGGTAAGAGTTGATCTACTTTGACAGAAAATCCCAAAAGGAAGAGTTTTAACCTTTAGGATTCTTTCCATCTATTTGCTTTCTTCAAACTGATTGCAGCTGTCACCAGAAATAAAACCAAAGCAAACAAAATAAAACTCTTTACAACTTATGGTGAAGCAGCAATAAATAGAACATTGTTCAAGTGCAGCGCAAGTTTTTCTTAACAGTCTTGTACTAAATTGCTGGTAGCTTTTTTAATGTTTTTGTTGTTGTTGTTTTGTGGTAGCCGTGGCTTGGAGAAACCTGAGTAAATGGCAAAGATGTCTTGTGAGAGTGCTGCATTTTTAGTGTTCACTGTTGAGTTGCCAGAAGCCAGACAGAACCTACAAAGTGGGTCATTGGGTTCAGTGTACTGTGATTATTATTTATACAGAATCCAAAGTGTACAGAGCACCCCTTTGGGCATATAAAAGTTCATGCTTCAAAGAGCTTACAGCCTTCAGGGCTAATAATATTATTGCCAGTAAGATCTAAGCTGTATATATTTCAAAGCTGCTGTTGCTGCTTTCATAATTTTACTGCATATCTTGCCCTACCTGATCATGGCAACTTCTGGAGTACTGTGATGAGGAAAGGATCTTCAACTTCCATTTGAAACACCAAACCAAAGCAAACCATTTTGTCTCTAGACAAGAGCACAAAAATGTGTCCTGAACACAGCAGAGTAGTTCAAAGGCCAAATAAACAGAAAAAGGAAAGGTGGTTTGTTGTGGGGTTGTTTTTGAATGCAGTTGGCTAAGAAGATAATGAGGTTTTTCCTAATTAGTCACGGGGAGAAGCATGAGGAGAGAAAATGTTTGTGCTTGTGAAACTTGGGCCAATGGATTCCAGTTCTCTACTCAGGCCATTAGAATTGGTGATTTTTCACAGTAGCACATCTTTTGGATGTACTATGGTCAATGATGCCGTCTTCCTAAGAGCGCGCTCCAAGCTGGTTCAGTGCTTCACAGGACTGTGTGTTCCCTGCTGGGCACAGGTTCCTCTCTCAGGGATTTCTTCTTTTGTCTCCACACCCTTCCTCATGTGTTAATGCACGGCCATAAAGAGATCAAACTGTGTTTTTCCTCATAACATTGAGATCATGGGCACACACCAAGTGCGGGAGCTCTTTTGCGTTCAGTGTGTTTGCCATCGGGAGCAGTCCGTCCAAAAATGATCAACACTGCTTAGGCTTCTGGTGCTGTCTGGTGGCAAAAAACCCCCGACAAATGTACTACATGAATGAAGTACACACCAGTATTTATTTCCCAAAAGTAAATTAGCAAGTATCTTAAATAATGGAACGTGTTTGCAGAAATGGTGAGTTATTCCTTCAATACCTCTGAAGTGGCAAAAGGTTAAAAAGAAAATTGCATTGTTGGTTGGAAATTCCTTGGCTGTGTTGCAAGGGATGGGTTTAATGTGAGAGTTGTGAAGCTCACAGGGTTGATCTTTCCTGCTGCCTTCCCTCCTCTCGCTGGCTCTGGGTCTCGCCGTTGCGGACGACACGGGTGATTGCTGAGTGACAGGAGAAACGCTGTGGGAGTCCCAGTTTTGGTCTGGCAGTGCAGGTGATTGCATTGTCAAAAATCAGAGGTTTCTTCTAGATCCTCTCACAATGCTTTCTTCCCCCTCCTTTGTCCAAGCAACTCTAAATTAAATAAATGTAAAAATATGAATAGGAAATAGTCGCCAAGGCCAAACTCCATTACAGCTGAAAGGAGTCCAGCTTTAATGATAGCAGTGGCAGCACCAGATTTGTTCTTATATCAGTAAGGGCTGAACTGGCCTGAGATAACGTCTGTTTATCACAGCAGCTTTTCCATCCGAAAGTAGAAATAGATGGAGAAAAATCATCTCTCTGTATTTTAGGCTTTGCTGGGGTGATAATATGGCTAATGCTCTAATGAATTCTGAGGACGCTTTCTTTTGATTTAACCTTCCTTACTTGATTTTATTACACCATGTATCTTTGGCATTTGGTGAAGAACTATTGCAAATGTGAGAAGCAAGCAGCTTGTTAGATAACATCTTTTTTTTTCCCTCTTTAGAAGATTAAACTGAGACTGTTCTGCCTGATGCCAGAATAGATGTAACCAATCCTGTATCCTTTGCATGTAGGTCAGTCAGAGGGACAATCCGGCACTGGATCCCATTATCCATGGGTTGAAGGGCGTCGTACATCATGGTAAGTAGCTGCTTGAACTTTCTTCTTGCTGGGAAGGGGAGAAGGGCAAAAGTGACCTGTCCTGGAGGGATCGGGTCACCCCTGGAAGGACATGGCGAGCCTGCACATCCTTCATTCACTGACATTTAAGGGCATCACAGCCATTATTTGATTGGTAAAGACTGGAGTAATTTGTTACCTGAAAATGGGTTGGGGTTAACAGTAAACAATTTGTTTCTTTTCAGTCAGTGCTCTGGAATGTGTAAGTTATCAGTCAAAACCTACCACAATCTATCATTCATATTAGTACTTCGAAGGCAGCTCCTGCTATTTATCTTCTGTTTGCTCTAAAAATACTCCTCTCTGAAGTTTCTATTTGTTTATAAATTATTTGTCTTTCAAATTTAGGGAGCTGATAATGAAACAGAAAATTAACTATCTGTGAAAATTAATTAAACTTTGCAGCAGATGAACATCTTTCTAATGCTGACATAAATACGATCATTCGGCTGTTCTGATGCATATAAACCTATTATCCTTGAACTTATAGCAGGTACTGAAATAAATATTCATATATTTTATACTTTTATAACCAGTTTTTTGCTCGGGAATTTTCCTGAAACCTTATCACAGGTAATGCATCATTAGCAATGACATCAAGATGCTCCAGTTCCCAAAGTACTCTTGTCAGCTTTTAATGTAATGATTTGTAAAGTTTTAATAATCTCATTGTAATTCACGAGGCGTCTGCTGGAATGGCGCTAGGTGCTGTAATAAATCTCCGTCCCATCTATAGCGCTGTGATAAAACATGGTTGCACCTTTTCCAAGGATTGTCTTTAGACATTAGCTGGTGCCGTAGAGCTTAACAAACATTTTTTTCTCTTGACTGCAAACCTAAAACTAGTTGACAGTGTTAGATTAAAACAAATAGGATTTTGGATTAATTGCCCTGCTTTCAGAGTCATTTAACATTGCAACTGGGAACACCAATAAATTCAATGAAAGTGAAAAATAGGGGTTAAATGATAGCATACCATAAAATCCTTCATTTAGAGAATTTTCCATAGGTTTTGCTGTTTATAAATTGCAGTGTTGTGCTGTGAAATATAAACAACACACTGAGCTGAAGAACCGTGGTGTTTCCCTCAAAAATAGATGTTATTCTCTAGCTCCCACTGGGTAACAAAACAGGCTAGCAAAAATGAAGCGAGGACGAGTTGGGCTGCAAGGATTTTTCAGGGGCTCTGTAATTGGGCACTGAAGTCAAGCTGCCATTTAACCAGACCGGGATCTCTTTTTAGCTTTGTTTTCTACTGCCTTCTATTTCAAGACACTTTACCCCCTGCAAGCGCAATGGTGTTTAGCCATCTCGTTTGGGGTTTTTTTCATCTCCCTCTCTTGCTCCTCGCTGCTGCAGCTGAAATAACCACCACTGAATAACCACACCGGCGTCTCCTAGGAGTATTATTCTATTCCCCAAAAATAATTGCTTGGATAGGATGTGGCACGGTCCCGGGGTTGCGATTCCCCAACCACATAATGATCCGTCCGTCTTGGCGCTGCCTTCCCGCAGCAAGATCTGGGTGGATAAAAGGCGTTTATTTTTGTTTCGCTCACAATGCACAGAAGGCTGCTAGTGTTTCAAGTAAAGGAAATCGCTTGATATATTTCAATAGCTTGTTTCCTTTTCAAAACATTAAGGAAGAAAAAGAGGAAAATCTTGCTTTCCTTCCTGTTTCAAAGGCCCTGATTAAAGGCTTTTTCTAAGGCTCTTTTGGTGGCTGGAGTAAGGGAATTTCCTCCTACAAAGTAGTTGTTCAAAGAAATTGTTCTCTTTAAGTTTAACTATTGATGGAACGCTTCAGTGAAGAGTTCTCCTATCGTATCTCTCTTTTAAAGTTATTATATAGAATAATAGTAAAGATGTGAGCTCTTATTCCAGACACTCGTTGCTTTTCTTAATTTTACTTATATCTTACATGAGCAGATTTTTATGAATTTATCTGAAAAGGTTCTTCCTGTCTTCCATTTGGCTGGATTCGACTGGCACCCTAAGGCAATGAACTTTTTGGCTGAAATACAGTGGAAAATTCTTGTGGTTTTCGGATAGAGTGGTTGGATCAAGGAGGAATCCAACAAAAGGAGCTGGAGAAAAGCAAAATTGAAACCTTAAGCTTCTTTGCATTTTATGACGTTTCCATGCCCGCGTTGTTTTCAGGCGGTCACCACAATAGAGGCACATGCCTGTAAAGTAGAAATCAAGAATATGTGTGAATGTTGACATAACTACATTGCTTTTACATTAGACCATGGTTGTGTATCCTCTGCTGGCTGGAGGGGTCACCAGCCCCTCAGCTTTGCTCCTCCCATGCACCTTCTGTCCACATGTTCAGTTAAGTAAGATTTCCTTGTTTTTCCATATGCCTCTTCCTCCAAGCGGCAAACCAGCCTTGCTGAGCTGAGCTGTCGGCCACTCCTTCCTTGTAACCATTCTGTTTTCAATGAGGAAATTACACACCCACACAAACACCCATCACCATTTCTTCATCCACTTTGTGGTAGTACTAGGTCTGTTCCTATATGGGGACTCCGAACTGCACTGTGCAGTATCGAGCACCCCTGCTGGCCTGTCCCCATGATGGTGACAGCTCCAATGACCCTCAGGTGTAGGGATGGTACTGATGAGTGGTGAGCTGTTTTTTCATTTTTCTTACATAGCTCTTCATTTTTTCTGTGAAGTTTTCGTGTTCCTACAGTGCCCTTCCATGGGCAAGTGAACAATTTAAGTGTCAGAAGGACTTTCTGTGGAAGTGAAAGCAATTTTTGCTTGAGATTTGGTCAGGGATTTGAATTACATACTAATTTGATGGAACATAAATAATTGTGCCCTTCACAGTGTCACCGGCTTAGTAACAATGATAGAGAAATGCATGCATAAAAATCAATACAGGCTTAGTCGCTACTTGGAGTTCACTTTGTTTCCTCATCTCCCGGCATAATTTTGTTGAATCTTAATGCCACATTAAGCTTAATTTTACATGAGCAACCATATAAAGTTCCTTAGCTGGAGGGAAAACCAGTGATGTACCAAGGAGCCTAACAATGTTTGGATCAATGGTAACGCTCTCAGGTTTGCCC